TATATTTCACATGCGCCTTAGGGCCATTTTATCAGAAAGTAAAATCCTTCCAGACAGATTTGTGTTTTTGACCCTTATACAGTACACCCACCGCAATTCTACAGTAAGGCATTATTCTAGAATGGATATGATTTTCGCAATGAGGATATGAATATAGAAGTCCTTATAAAATAAGCTAAGACTACGATAGTTTAATCCCCAAATAAGGTATAAACAGAGATTTTCATAAGTATGAAAGAAAAATGCACGCTTACGCGATAACCCAGTACGTCATAGGCCTCTTTGCACTTATATGGCGAATTCACTACTTGTGCTACTTTATTATGAGAGAAAATTGGGATTTAAGGCCTAGAGAACTAGAGCATTGAGAATGAATGAACTTCCGAAGACACCACGAACCTTCTTAATTCCTTGTGTTTCCTCCCATTGATGATGACATTTATGGTATTTACTCGTTTAAAAAAGGAGAAATGTGCTGACTAAAACGTCATGCTAAGAAATTCGTCACTGCGATGAACTTAGGTTCACGAGTTTTTCTAGTCATACTTGACCACTGCAATCACATAGCTCAGCATGTCAATGTGTATTCTGGGGAAACGCAAAATTACACACATTGGGCTTACATCAGCTAACTTTTTCAGTAATTTGTTCTAAATCCGCGCATATTCCTGTACTTGATGCAGTTTGTTTTCTAATATTATTCTTAGGACCTTTCTGTCACAAGTAAGCCTTGATTCATTCCTGAAAAAAAACTCAAGCTTTTGATTGATGATCAGTTAAGGACTTTCAACAGCTACAATTTTGCGTAAAAGGAAGTACTATGTTTGTCTACCATGTCTTTTTCATTTATGAGGCCGCTCAAACAGCAAAACAATTTTAACGGAGTGAGATAATCTGTGGCCCTGCAATCCCGAACCTCTCACTTAGAAAAAAGGCATTGGTGCACTTATCAAAAGAAGTCTTTGACTGCCGATACACAATGGGAGGAGCGGTTTCTGGATGGATGAGTGCATTATGCATTTGCGATTTAGACCCAAGAGTCCCATCTAAAGAGATATGGTATGCCTCTACTAACAGTCGCCATTTTTGGCGCCTCCAGAGATTATTTCAACTAGCCGAGAGCATTTGTCTGAAAGCAAACGGCTCTTCAAAAGGATTGGAGATAGTCAACAGGGGGTTGAATCT